TTGGATCGATTAATGATGCAATCATAATGAATACCTGGATTCCAGACGCATAGCTGAATCTTGACATTGAAAGTGGTACCGGGGGAACAGGGCATTCTCTGCCACCTGCCACAATAATCAGTATTCGTTGACGGTTGACACTGCAGATAAGTGGTGTCACCTTTAGGATCTACGGCCAGAGGCTCGAGCATCCACGAGCATATTCCTTGATATTGTGCATTCTGAGCTGTCGTCACTCCACCTAAATGAGCAAATGATAGAGAGATGAAGTGGTGAGACATTGATAGAAAAAGGATGAGATTTTACCGAGTGGGCAAACTTGTGGTTGAATTATCAGATGTGGTTCAACCGGTTGAGGACAGTAATTCTGATTGGTTGATGTGATTTTGCATTGCTGAAATTATTATTTATCAGCCTTGATCACTGTTGGATCAGCAGAAGAGTGAAAATTGATAAATAATGTAAATGGTTTGAAAAGATGAAGAAGATGGAACCGATTTTGAATGGAGACATATGCAGGCAGTTTGCGGACAGTCACATCCGGGCTTTGGTATTATGACAGAAGGGATTTGCGGTTGGGCATCGGAACAGATGCAGTTAGGAGACACAGAGGGACACTGAGAACAAGCGGGGAGATTGATGTCAATCGAGGCGAGTGGCATATCTCGACGAAATCTTTGCTGCTGATTGGGAACTCGAATCGGTGAGAAGACCTCACTTCCAGAGCACGTGCAGTTCTGAGTGTCTTCTGCACAATCGCACGTTTGCTCACTCTGCCCGATTACGAACTAAATATTCGTTATTATGCTTAATTGCTATCATGAAATCACAACACCAACAGATACATCTAATAAACTTTACATGCCACTTGTCCGATTCTATTCCAGGACAAAACAAGCCATTGTTCTGGGCGATATCACTACAGGCTCGTAACCATTCGATAATCTCTTCAATTGATAAACACTTTCGCAGAGAAGCAACAAATACTGATTCTGGTGGGCATTCTCTCAGCATCCATACACCAATATCATTCCTGAAACTTATTCATCAATAAGAAAGAATTTCTACAAATAAGAAAGAAATTAAATCAAATTCCATCAAAACGAGTTAGAACAATAAAATGATCAACCAATAGGAATAAATCCGAGAGTGATAACCTATTGGTGACATTAGCATCATCTTGCTTGATGCATTCGATAAATCTGGTCGGATCAGCAGTTGAACGTGGATATGAGGTTAGTTGACAGATGTCGCCGAGTACTGATTTCCAGTAAGTTGACGATTGTGGTTGTGTTTGCGTTGCATTCTCGATCGGTGTTTGCTGATCGCACACGACTGCAATGCACACCATTTTCACATCATCTGATTGATAGATCCTTTGATTGCAATCAAATCAAATAATCAACTTTATCGAATTACCATGATTCCAATCAGTGAATGATGCAATGATGAATATAAGCCATATCCCTGATAAATGGCCAAGCATTTTGCTGAATCGATGAAATGCCAATCAGTTACACCGATTCAACCAGGCACACTGAATCTATCCGAAACAGATTCCGGGCTTATATAAAGCACATTCAACAAACAAACTAAACTAGACATTCTAATCACCTGGATGACAGTCATTCCAGATTTACTCTTGATAATGTTTTTGACGATTCTTTTGTGTTGTTTGCTCTAATCACTACTCATTTTCTAAATAAAAATTGTTTTTTATCAATTAAAAAACGCATGTTGTACATACCACCAACACAATAATTCATTCAGATCATCAACCAAACTCATCTAGTTATGTCCCTTCTCCCGTAAACCTCACACATTCACCTCTTCATAGATAAATATTTGCAATCGCCCTCAACAGTTTTCAAATCAAGCACCTCATATGATTAACGTAAGCATCAACTAACTAATAGCTGCCTCTCTGTTCAATACTATAGATAAACAGTACAAATACACAAAAACACAACTTATGAATTCATTTTAACAATGTTCATTCGGGTATTTATATGTAGAGATATATTTATGAAGAACATTGTGAGAAGGATGATAATCTGTAGAGATATATATTTATGAACATCGATGCGATATCATAGCAATATCTTGTATCGCACACATCGATCAGCAACACCATCCGAACCGAACAATTCACGTTATCGCATGCTTCAGAAAGCCACTCCCCACTTCAATTAAGCATTCTGATTTTGAATTTATTGGCATGCCATCTGAACGATTCCAATGTCAACCATCCATCACCAGATCGATTATTTTATATTTTGAGATGGAATATGTGCAAGTGAATGGTTTTAGCGTTAGTCTTAATGAGATCTGATAGAAAAGCAGTGAAAGAACCTCAAAAGCCCAATGACTGGTATTTTTAGAACACTGTTACGAATCAACTCCGTTGCTGATACTCTTCTTCGACTACCCATGGGTACCCTTCAAATCATCTCATACTATATTTTCTCATGAGCGGTCCAACTTAATAATTTGAACTTATGAAAAGGAACAGTAGTTATACCTTATCCTTATCCAGATGAGAAGTAAACTGATAATGCTGTCAATGTGATTTCTGTCCAAGCTAATAAGGTACTAAAAGAGGTGCGTGAACTAAATGCCCAAATAAGACATTGATTAATTTATAATCAGAGAACATTCCGTGATCACAATCGTGTCATATCGCGACTAATGATGAGCCGAACATGCCCATTAATCGACTGATGGTCATTTTTTAATATCTATTGTTGGTCGGTTGATATTCTTAATACATCAGAACATTTCATACTATCTGACTGCATTTGTATGAAAACAGTGATATTGATAATAATAAATTAACAAAACTGAAGGGGATCTAACTATTGAAGGATCTGAAGGGGATCTATTAACTATTGTTCCCTTCAGTTAATCGAGTTCCAGTAACCCATCTTGTTGCCGTTTAAAAGTAATTTGAAGTTGAGAAACTGATGTAAGATGTGATCTGTACT